GGGGGGGAGGGGGTAAGTGAAAAGGAGAGTCAGAGATATTGAGGGAAAGAAGAGAACGAAGAAGAACACACCCGATAGTGCGCAAACATTCCTTTCATTCTCGTAATAAAAGAGTTACAGACTTTTCCCCCTCTCTTTCTCTTTGCGTTCCTATTCTGATACATTTTTGCGGTTTCCAAAAGCAAAATAAATGCTATTCTAAAACGATCCTTAAGAGCTTGTTTTATGCATATGATCATGGTCATTTTTGTGCTGTTTAGAATTTCATGCATCACTTACACTGTACCGGCATCGAAGGTTTAGCGGTTAGACATTTCGCTGTAGCGCAGGAGACCCGATTTCATTTTCTGAGTTGGGAGAAAACTGTATCGACTACATCTGTTTTTCTTCAGGGAATTTGTGTCTCTTTTAGTTTGGGTTAGCCCAGACAGGCAAAGTCGGAAGCCCACCTCCTAAAAGATCTAAATTATGTTATTGGTGGTTTAAAAACAAGTACTTTAAAGGAAGACAAATGGATTTCCGCACATTGTCCTTGGCAAGAGAACCACATTTTTATAGTGACACTGAGGAACGACGAACCTTGGGCAGGGACATAATTATAGAAATAATGTCTTTGACCTTGGTGACCAGACCTTTCGCGGTGTCAAGGACTTGCTATGGTTGTCAAGCCAATAGTAACGCGACACTAAATTCATTTGCTGCTTTGTGTGTGTGTGGCGCGTGCGCGCGCGTGCGTGCGTGCATGCGTGCGTGCGTGCGTGCGTGTGCGTGTGTGTGTGCGTGTGCGTGTTCGTGTGTATTTATTTCGTTTCAACCTCCAACATCTGTAACCACATTGAACCAAACATGTGCAAGCTTCTTTTACCCGTCTTTCTTTTTTAAGGACGGGAAAGAAAAGAGAAGAGCTCGCTGTTACAGATTTTAAAAATCATTACTTTTGACCACATCTACCTCCGAAAAGAGAGGAGGTAATAGAATAAGAAGCTTGCATGATACGGCAAGAAAGAGTTGAATTCCATGACAACTTCACATTGGTCGAATTTGTTGGCTAAAAGTTCTAAATACCAGAAAACATAATTTCTTAAAGCCATTTTGTGATTATTAGATTCTTCCTACTAAGGTATGCACCTGCGTAAATCGCTTGAGTTTGTAAAATTTCACAAAGTCCAAATTGGGCGGTTAGGTGCAAAGTGTTGACATTTTAAGATAATTTGAACCACTTTTATTTGAGGGTTTTTTCACCCCCTGAAATGTGCTTGCTATACCTAGATAAAAATGGCGTCATCCTTTGAAATTCAAACACTGCCTACAGCATCAAACGACCATTACCTCTACGCATAATAATATGTTCAAATGATACTTAAACCAAAAGAAAAAGATGTAGCAGCATGTAAACCGAGGAAGGCACAGGGTGTTACCCGGCAACGGGGATGTCTATCGAGAGCAAACCTTGAAGGCAAGTCAAATTTGCACAGTTCTTTGCGACAACTGCCAACACATCCAACACATGTGGGGTATCCTGAGCTTTTTAAAGTTTTTTTTTTGGGGGGGGGGGAACAACCTCTAGGCACGATACGGTGGATACAGACCAAAATAGCACTGACTTCAGTTTCAGCTCTCTTCTGCATTTTTCTATGCCACTATGTGACATTGAGAAACTGCAGGAGGGCTTAAACTCAAGGACGGTGCGCCAATAATAATTATTGTGAACCGCATGGCGATATTTTGCTGCCTTTATTTTAAAATAGGGTTTAGTGTAAGTCCCTCTCTAGTTCTCTCTCTCTCTCTCTCTCTCTCTCTCTCTCTCTCTCTCTCTCTCTCTCTCTCTCTC